GTGATGTCATGTTTTGAGACGAGGACCCAGGCACAGAGAGACTTTATTTAAGAATCATATGATTTATCTTGCCTGGCTGGGCGGCTCTCTGGGTGCTCAGCCTCCAAAGCTCTAATCCTAGAATCGCCCCTGCGGGAAATTCAGGTTTTTTGTTTTGTTTTGTTTTTTTTCTTAGATAGATATGCAGACCTGTCTGTTGTAGTGACTCTTTATGAAGCGAAGGGAGCAGCTGAAAGAGCCCCCCCCGTTCATGTTAAATTCTTCTTATACTGCCATTTTCTTTTTTGTTTGCTCTTACTTTCACAGGTGGACAATAAGGCCTCCAAGTCTGTGCCCGTTGTGATAACAGTTGTCATAGTCCTGATTCTGAGTATTGCAGTAGGAGTAGTCTTTGTCAAGAAATATGTCTGCGGTGGCAGGTTAGTATACCTTGGCACACAGGATTTTACTCCAGCAGATAACCTTAGGCTGTCTACAGGAAAATATGTCGAGCATAACAAACTTTATCTACTTTAAAAAAATGCTCTTCATGTTTGCTTTGCATAGTTTTCAAATGGTTGTGATTAACCTGAACAATGTGTGAATGTGCCCTGCAGGTTCTTGGTTCACAGGTACTCTGTGCTACAGCAGCATGTTGAGGCCAATGCTGCTGATGGGATAGACGAACCGCTGGAGACCAACCACACTCAAAATGGCAAAATAGAGTTTCATGATGACTCAGATGAGGTACAGTGGCTAACTTTTCTTCCCTTTTTGGAACATGGGCAATAAGAACGAGTAGTGGTTATTAAGATATTAGCTACTGTTAATGGTGCTTTTGGGCAGCTTCATGGTCGTAGAAACGAGTTGTTCATTACCCGTTTTTCAGCGTCAACAACATAATAGAAAAATAATAATTTTAAATGTTTCAGCTTTTCAGAAAATCTTCAAATAGTATGCAAGTTTTGTTGGGGAGTATAGATAACTGGTTGGTGTTTAAAGGGAAAGGTAAATGTTTGCATATGTGCCTGTGTTTGCTGACGTGTTGTCTCTGACTTCCCTGTTACGCTCTTGTCTTCTCTTTGCACAGGATCTGCTTGAATAGCAGGCACAACCTGTCAAGCAACTGAGCAACAGGTTTCTTACAGGGCCCCGTGACCTGCCGCTGTTCCTGCCGCTCTTTTTGTCTCCAGATACTTTTCCTTTCACCTTTTAGTATAAACTTTGGCCTTGGCTACAGATGAAGAATCTGTCCTTCTGCTGTCATTGGTTCAGTCTGATGAATGTACAGAGGCTCTCTGAGACTAATGCCACAGTTGAGGAGCATTACAACGAAGGTCTTACTGTGTTTTGCTTCAGTTATTGATTCTGTCGAGTGAGTTTGAATCCCAAAGTTATTTATTTTTAGGAGATAAAGAAATTATGCCGTAATCTAAAGCTGGTTGTATAAATCCATCGCCACCGTATTACGGGTTCTCCCTCTTCTATCCCCTTGGAGTGCACCTGGAAATATTTCACACTTCTTTTCTCATGCACTTGTACATAAACCTGTTTTT